AAACCCTTAGAAGCATTTATGAAAGGGTATATGAAAATTAAATACCCTTATAAGGGTTTATTATTCTACCCTTTTTTTTACAGTGTAGTACGAAGACTTTCTTGTTCAGAACAATCAACAGTAAGAAAATCATCGAGCAGATGTTGGCAGTATTGCACATGGTATTTGTTCAGAAGAATCCATTCTAAAGCCTGTGACAAGCAATCGAAAATACGAGGCGAACTACGTCCACCAAAAGGATGTCTAACAAAGAAATAAAGTTGATCATTCCAATGGCACCCGTAGAAAGGAACAAGCGATGGACGAATAGGAAGTAGTTTAAAAGCTGAAGCTATATCACATTTGCATAAGAAAGCCTTAGGACCAGTTTTAAGAACAGTATGGATAGCTTGATCAATAGTAGAGTAAGTCATAGAACATTCGTCTTTATCAATCAAGTCGTTAATAGAAGAAGTATTGTTTTCGTCATGTGGCCAGGATAGATCTAAAATCAAGCGAGGTTTGCCGCTATATTTGCCAAAGACTAAACCTAATGGTGATAATCGAAATATTGGAAAAGGTGATGAATTGAATGGTCCTAATTAGAATCCATTATCGACTCCCTCCTGTATAAGCTTGGTAACAACAACAGGAAATTTTCGTGCAGAACGTAGATTTTGTCCTTGAAGAGTACCACTAGGCAACTCTTGAATTCCTGTATGAAAACCTGTACGGAGACCAGATAGTAAATACTCAACGAATGAGCGGTTTGGATGAAACTGTAATTAGAGGTGTCAGCCGAAGGGTTGAATGGCGACGGCAGGCAACAATTTACAATTTTTGAAGATTTCCAGCGGCTCGTTATTTGAATGAGTAATGTCTTCAGCGGCGGCTGCTACAAATTCTTAAATTTTTTTTTCACAGCGGCGGTGTCGGCTGATATTTGTAAGTCCTTTTGTGACGGCGGCGGCTCAGTTAAAAATTCACTGATGAAAATTAAAAGAAAAATGTTCGATTCGATCGCATATGTATTGATGTCAGCGGCGGCAAATAACGCTATCAAAAATTTTTATCTCTTGCAGCGGCGCAACGGCTAAACTTGTTTTTTCGCAGCGGCGGCTTCTCCAAAATTCTTAAAATTACCAGTAATTTGGTGGCTGCGGCGGCTGATATTATTGAAAAATCGGCTGCTGCGGCGGCTCAGCCGTGCGGCTGACACCTCTAACTGTAATTCATTTGCTAAATGATCAACGTTGATTGGAGTAGATGATTTCCAAATAATAGCTTCTAGAAGAAAGAAAATACAGATCATTTAAAAATGCATATCTATATAATTGAAGATATTGAAAAACAAGTATAATCGAGAACTAATTAAATATCGAGCAGAAAAGTATATCACGTATTAGGAATTGGAGCAATCGGTCGACAGTCTTTTTGTGGATGTGATTGTTGCCATTTAAGACATACATGTGCACGTTGGCATAAGTGATTCGTACAACCACGGTTACCGTTATAATTAAAACAAATTTCACGTTGATCAGCCGTGAGTATTGGAGTACGCTTAAATCGCTGCCACATCATGGTACGGAAACGTGAATCGTTCATCGGCATAGAAGTAACATCGTTTTTAATATCCCCATGAAAAATAGATGGACAAAAATCAGTTGAATGGTCGACAGATGAACATTTATCGCAGGTACGAGCACTAGTGGCGGCGCCACGGGGGGGCTAGTGTGGGCTGAGCCCCCTCAGAATTGGTTTGAGCCCCCTCAGATTTTTTTTTAGAAATTTCTTAATGAGTTTAATTTTTTCTGATATTAATACTGCGACGATACTATGACTACGTCGTAGAGATTTGTCTTCAGTTTCTAATTGGTTGTTCACTGTAACTATACAAAAACTGTCTTCTGCTAATCTTGCCTAAACCTAAATCATAATCTCCACAAATGCAATCTAAAAAACGTTATTGATTGCATGTTGGTAGAGCTAAATGATAGATTTTCATCGAAAACATTATCATTGATGAAAAGTAT